GACAACTGGGAAAGCTGCATGTAGCAGGAATTCCCTAATGAGCAGCCAAGAGCAGCTCATCCCTAATGAGCCTGGAGCAGCTTATACAAATATTTGGGCTTAAATCTGATCCTGGGTCACACTTCCTGAAACTCTTAGTCCTGGTGTGCTAGGTGTTCCTGCAGCCGAGGAAGCAGGGCTTGGTATGGGAACCCCACTCCTAAATCAAGGTTCTTCATCTGTTTCTGGCTGAGGAAGGAGGTGTCTTCTGGCAGCAAAGGTGCTGCCAACAGGGGAAGATTGTGTGTCATCCCCCTTTACAGGGGAGCATTGTAAGTGGGCCAGTAGGATGCCCTCTGAAGGACAAAGGACAGAAGCTGCTGGAGGACACTGTGTTTGATAGATCATTGACTTGACGGACCATGGCAAGTCTTAAACAGGGATGCAGCCAGCAGTGCCTGCTTTCCAACAGGAGTTAACTGAATCCTCCTTTCACTGAGCTGATCGTCACAAGTCTTCTCGTTGCCAGCAGCATTTGTACAAAGACTCTCTTCCGTTAAGATGTACTTCCTGCACACAACATCACTACTTTACCCCCTCTCCTTATTCCAAGCACTTCTAGCTCTCACAACCATAAAGAACATTAACTCCCCAAGCAATCCTGAAGAACAAAGCCTGTGAAATAAGATTAGCTTGCCACAGAGATTTTTATAAGATTTTTTTTTTTCCCCTTCCCTCCTGCTTACGCATTTCACCCCTTGGTAGACAGGCTGGGGTTTGTTCTGTAACAGCTTAGCTACATATAATTACAGGGAACAAAATTACATGTGAAGCAGATACATTATCCAGTGTGAATCATAGAATCATAGAATAGTTAGGGTTGGAAAGGACCTTAAGATCATCAAGTTCCAACCCCCCTGCCATGCATTAAACCATCTCACCCAAGGCCTAGTCCAACCTGGCCTTGAACACTGCCAGGGATGGAGCATTCACAATTTCCCTGGGAAACCCATTCCAGTGCCTCACCACCCTAACAGGAAAGAACTTCTTCCTTATATCCAATCTAAACTTCCCCTGTTTAAGTTTTAACCCATTACCCCTTGTCCTATCACTACAGCCCCTAATGAAGAGTCCATCCCCAGCATCCCTATAGGCCCCCTCTTCAGATACTGGAAGGCTGCTATGAGGTCTCCACGCAGCCTTCTCTTCTCCAAGCTGAACAGCCCCAACTTTCTCAGCTGATCTTCATACAGGAGGTGCTCCAGTCCCCTGATCATTCTCGTGGCCCTTCTCTGGACTTGTTCCAACAGTTCCATGTCCTTTTTATGCTGAGGACACCAGAACTGCACACAGTACTCCAGGTGAGGTCTCACAAGAGCAGAGGGGCAGGATCACCTTCGACCTGCTGGTCACACTCCTTCTGATGCAGCCCAGGATACAGTTGGCTTTCTGGGCTGCAAGTACACACTGAAGCCGGCTCATGTTCATTTTCTCATTGACCAACACCCCCAAGTCCTTTTCCACAGGGCTGCTCTGAATCTCTTCTCCGCCCAACCTGTAGCTGTGCCTGGGATTGCTCCAACCCAGGTGTAGGACCTTGCACTTGGCATGGTTAAACTTCGTGAGATTGATATCAGCCCACCTCCCAAGCGTGTCAAGGTCCCTCTGGATGGCATTCCTTCCCTCCAGCGTATCAATACTACAAGCTTACCTGAGTTTGAAAAGCATATGGGTGAGTCTGTGGAGGAGAAAAACGTTTATGTCAAGTGACTGTAGATAGACTGACTGTACAGATACCATGTCTGCTTCGTAAAGTCCTTCTAATGTCAGTCACAGAGGTCTGTGAGAATACTGTGGGGAAAGAGCTGCTGCTAGAGAGAAAAAAAAATGGACTAGGATGGTCTTTGCTTGATTTGATGTGGTTGCTTTTGTGTCTTAGTTCAGTTCACTTTGTGATGCGCAATACCTGCCTAACCACCACGAGGAGCAGACGAGGACCTTGCGGAGCTTTGCAAGCTACTCACTTTATATAAAAATGCTGTTTTACAAGGTGATTTATTATAAGCAGAGCACTGAGGCATAAGTAAGCTAAGTGCAGTAATTACATTTGTTAAGTATGGGTCATTCCTGTTGGCTGGATCCACTTGATTGCTATTCATACAATGGTGTCTTTTTTTTGTGTCAGATTGAGCTTATCAGTTACTGCTTTAAAAATGATTAGTGCTGGCTCATGTATATCCTCACTCTCAGCAGCACTTACTTGTGTTTGAATGCGCTCCTGAAGGCAAACCATGCTCCTCATTTGACCTGGATTTCACAGTTAAACATCTCATTAGGAAACGTTGCCTTTTTTCCCCAAGTCTGTGGTATTTCAGTGTTTTGTGGATGACAGGCTTTCCATCTTGCCTAACTTCTGCCCATAAATAGGTCTCAAACTGTTCACAGTGAGGAGTTAAAACACCTTCAAGCTTTTGCTTTTTTGTCTTCCTCCATGTAGAAAGGCAAATGTCTAATAGTTTATTTATCCCTGAAGTCTTGCCACCAGTGTCCCTGCCCATGGCAGGGGGGTTGGAACTTGATGATCTTAAGGTCCTTTCCAACCCTAACTATTCTATGATTCTATGATTAATCACCACAGAAGACAGTTACCGTGGTCTCAGAGATTATCCCCTTCCATCTTCTTCATGATGGAGTTCCTGATTCTTCTTTTTTTGTTGTTGTTGTAATACTCAAAAGCCTTTCAGTGACTTTAACTCTGATAAATGCATCTGCTCTTGAACCTCTGTATGGATTCCTTCTTGGAGGTAGAAAAATTTTCAACCTATTGCTGATCATTGAAGAGTCTTATTCCCAAGTGTACAAATCCTGCAGAACTCACTATTTTGGCAGACCATCTTCAACAGCTGTTAAATCAAAAGGTTTTCTTTGGCAAAATGTGCTGGTTGCTGGTCCTTCTTCTCACCCAAAGGGATCACCACTAGAAGCACGCATCCTGCTCAAGCAGTTGAGCAACAGGGCACCCTGTCCTGAAAGATTTACTCCCTGTATCTTGAATTTGTTCCTTAACTGTATCTTGACTTTTCACAGGCAATCAGGCTTTGTGACGTTCTAACCTTGCAGCCCAATGTGGAGGATGCTTTTTGGTCAGAAATTTATTTCCTTTGGCATTTTCAAAGGGGTGACCCTCAGTCAGGGTGGAATCATAGAATCACAGAATCATGGAATGGGCTGGGTTGCAAGGACCTTAAGATCACCTAATTCCAACCCCCTGCCAACTTCCACTAGATCAGGTTGCTTCAAGCACCATCCACCCTGGCCTTGAACACTGCCAGGGATGGGGCAGCCACAGCTTCTCTGGGCAACCTGTGCCAGGGCCTCAGCACTCTTTCACCTGCCCTACAGCTCTGCTTGCTTCAGAGCTTCCACACTGAATTCCTGAATTCGTCTTTGCAAACTGAGCCTCATCCTTCACTGTGTTATCATACCATAGCTTGTGGTATGACAGCAGTCACAGCTGATGACTGCTGACCTTGTGACTTTGTGCTTCTCCAGAGTTCTCTCTGAACCACCGATGATAGGGAGCATCCACCTGCAACGCAAGGCTGGGCTCAGGCCTGTGGGATGCTCACCCCCCTTACAAGGATGCGCCTCGCAAGACATGAATGACATCATGGCTGAGTGGCGTCACTCTAACGTCCCATCACGCCCCTCCCCGGCAGGCGGGTACACCAGGATGCAGCCCCGCCTCCCCCGAAGCCCCGGGGTTACCCTGGAGCGGTACCCATCGCCGGGACTGCGTTATCCAGCGCCAGGAGAGCGGTACCCAGGGCCGGGGAGTGGCACCCAGCGCCGCTGGAGGTGATGCAGGGCGGCCTGAGCTCGGCGGGGCCCGCCGGTGAGCGCGGTTCTGCGGGGCTGTGCCCGAATGAATGAGGCGTGGAAGGGCTGCGGGCGGTCAATACGGCCATTGCGGAGCGGAGCGGAGCCGGCCGCCCTGCATCACCGCAGCGCCGGGAGCACCCTGCCCGGGGTAACGGCGTGAGGGGCTGCTGCCCGTTGGGGGCCGGTCGCGGGAGTGTCGTGTTGCTCTTCCATCCCTTTCCTGGCGCTTTGGCTTCTCGGCAGGGGCCTGATACAGCTTTCTTCATGCGCCTGACACACACCCGCCTCTGCTTCATCTGTGGAGGCCGCATGTAAAGTCGATCTTTTCTTATCTGCTCCAGGAGCATCATGGTCCCTCTCTCTAAAAGAGGGCAACTTCAGGCTGGATGTGAGGAAAAAATTCTTTGCAATGTGGGTGGTTAAATACTGGAACATGTTGTCCATGTGTGGTAGACTCACCATCCCTGGAGACTTTCAAGGCCAGGCTGGATGTGGTTCTGGGCAACCTGATCTAACTGAAGATGTTCCTGCTCATTGCAGGGGGTTGGGCTAGATGACCTTTGAAGGTCACTTCCAACCCAAACTGTGCTATGATTCTGTTCTGTGATTCCATGCTGCTCAGTAGCTGGTGTATGTAATTTTGGGGTTGCTGAGGTCAGATTTCTAGTTGTTCCCATGGTGTTTCAGGCTGACATCATCTCTTGGCGGGCTGTGCAAGGGATACGGCGTCGTCCCACCGTCTTGCGTCACCTCTATAAAACAAGCGGCGCAGGTTGTGTGTGTGTCAAGGTTGTTTTAACTGAGATTAGCCAACAGCTTCCTGCCAGACAGAACAGGACAAGCACTGCCACTCCTCTGCCCTGGCACATCCACCACGCCAGGGGACACGGGGAAGGATGCAGTGTTCCCTTACCTCAGTCTGGGGCTTTCCAAGCCAGAGAAAATGCCAACAAAGGGTGTGTGATGTCCTTTCAGGCTGCATCAACTGTTGGTTGAGGTGAGAGGATCTCCCAGCTGTTGCAGCTTGAACACTTTAAATGTGGTGATCCGATGGACTTCCCAGTTGGCCATACCAGGGAGTAAGGCTTTCCCATGGGACGCACAAGGTGGCATGTGCTTTGTCTTCTGGATGTCCATGGCAGGTGGTATCTTGCCACTCAAGCTATTCTTGATACAGATGGAAGAAGTAGAGGAGCTTTCCAGCGCATAAGCCCTTCTTCTTTAGGGTCAACGCAGAAACTGGTTTTGGAGAGACATGAGTGGAGAACAATAGCTGGGAGTTCAGTGGTTGGTGTGGACCATGTGCCCACGGATGTTTGCTGTTTTGGAAGTACCAATGGTTGAGAATCTGCAGGATCCTGTGCCCAGAGAGTATCTTAACTTTCTCTGAAAGAAGCAAGCTCTGGACTTCTTTGCTTAGCTCTGTGGAGGAGCATCCCATGGGATCTCAGCAGCTATGCGGCCCCTGGAATGCAGTGGGACATTTGGGTTTTGGTTCTGAGCTCTCTCTCTTGCCTCTTACCCATTTTCTTTGACATTTACTGTTGTGGGATTTCCCAGACCTAACCCGTGAGTTTATTTTTCTTATCACTGTAATGCTCTATCAGTAGCTAATACATAAGAAACTACAAGCTTAAATAAACATGTTTTTGTCTTTTGCATGAGCAGCAGGTGATTGCTGCTTGTAGAACACATTGAAAATCCTGCAAAGGAGCAGTAGCTGGTGCTTAACTCGCTAAATACCATTTTATGAGCTTGCTTCTTTCTTTCCCTCTTTTCTCTATCTCCGTGCTTTAATCTTCTCACCAAACTCAGAAATTCCCTGCTATCAATGGAGATAATTGCTTTACATTCTGAGACACGTTTGCTTCATGCTAATCCTTTGTGCTGCAACCTGTCAGTTTCAAACCTGCCTTTCAGAGATGACCCTAGGTTGTGTGGTGCTGTTAGTTAAAGGAGCTGGTTGCATAGCTTTGGTGTCCTCTGCCTATCACAAACGTGCAGACATTTCAGAGCCAAACGAATGTGAACAAAGCGATATCCCTGGCTGCTGCTCCCATGAACGAGCTCTTTTTTCTTCTCTCTTCTTTTTTTTTTAAGGTGTGGGACAACTCCTACTTTCTGTCTGGTTTTGATTGGCTTTCGGAAGAGGCTGTGTCCTATAAATTGCCCTCGCCAACCTGCTTCTGCTCGATCACCAGCTGACGGACAGGTGAGTACAGAAGAGAAAAGATTCCAGCCCGTATCGCTTAATCCTTGACATTAGCGTTGGTTGTTAATTGAAATTAGTGGGGTGGGGGAAATAAATTCCATGTTTCAGGAGAAAAATGCCTCGTTTTCCTTGATCTAGGAAATGAAAGAGCTTGTTTCGAATATCAGCTTTTGTCAGTGAGTAAACCCAGTGACTGAGAAAGTAGTCAAAAGATAAAGGGGGGGGGGGGGGGAAGAAGGATGTGTTTGAAAATAGGCATGATTGTTCTCTCCCCAGTTCCTAACAGTACAGAAGTAGTCCTCTCTAATAGTAGACAGATAGATAGATAGATAGATAGATAGATAGACAGATAGATAAACCTATAGTTTGGGATAGCAAGATAGAGAAACCTATTAAAAAAGAAAAAGAAAGAATGTTCGTCTTTACATCAGTTAAATGAATACTTTTTGTGTTTAGAGCTGTTAATAACTCCTTGAAGTTAAGTAAAGTGGGAAACTGATGTAACAGAAGGGGCTTTTCTGTCCGAGTTACTTTTGTGAGCTTATCATTGTGTTGAGGCCAGTTTTATCTCATGGTTGGTTTGGGGGAGTGTTTTTTAAGGCATATTGTTAATTTCTGAATGGATCTGTGCATTGGTTGGCAACCTTAGGATTTCATAGGTAGTTACAGCATTTCCCCACACCCCTACCCCCCACTTCATATCTGAAATACAAATGCATGTCATAGGTGGTGATTTTTGCATGCAGTTGTGCTGCTGGGTGAGAGAAGGGGTTTACGGTATCTGATATAAAGTGTGTTTACTGTTCTTCGGAGTCAGCCTAGGCTTGCGTGTAAATTCTCAGCTTAAGCCTGGGAATTTCACTCCAGGCATGTTTGGAGAAACCAGTTCAGTGGGAAATCAGCTAGCCATGAGTGTGTCATTTTCAGTAACACCTGACTTCGGTTTGTACTTTGTTTATAGAGCTCAAAATGCCTTTTCAGGTACTTTAAGGGGAAATTCGCTGCAGCAGAAGCCAGAGAGTCTCTCTGATTGCTGTAAGAGCTGTTTATTGTCCCATTCTGGAAGAAGAAAGGTTTATCATGGCTCTTTAAAAGGCTGTCACTGCCCTTTTTCACTTTCACATGGGTTTCCTATGAAGAAACTTGTCTTACGAGGTTGAATTGTCTGGATATGTCTGCCTGCTGCTTTCGTTCCCTGCACACCTAACTATTTTTGCACCTATTGGCTAATTTCAAGTGAGCTTGACAGGGACTGGGTCTCAAACACATCTGTTTTGTGAAGATGGGTTTGCAGGGGAGGGAAATCTCGTTAGTGCCTTGGCTGAGCATCAGAGAATGGTTGTGGTTGGAGGGCACCTCTGGAGATCATCTGATCCATCCCCACCTGCTTAAGCAGGGCCACCCAGAGCTGGTTGCTCAGGACCATGTCCAGATGGCTGTTGAATATCTCTAAGGATGGAGACTCCATCACCTCTTTGGGCAACTTGTGCCTGTGCTTGGTCACCCTCACAGTAAAGAAGTGTTTCCTGATGTTCAGAGGAACCTGCTGTGTTTCAGTGTGTGCCCATGGACTCTGGTTCTCACACTGAACACCATTGAAAAGAGTCTCAATCCCTTCTCTTTGCACCGCCCCTTCACATATTTATATACATTGGTATTTCCTTGCAGCCTTCTGTTCTCCAGGCTGAACAGTCCCAGCTCTCTCAGCCTCTCTTCATAGCAGAGATGTTCCTGTCCATCATCTTGGTGGTCCGTCAGAAATATAAACTGAGCTGTACTGAGTGGTAGAGGATCAAGACAGGAGAAAGATGTCATAACCTCTGAGACTGAGTCCTCAGGAAATGGAGCTTCCTCACTTTCAGCACTGAAGGAATAGCTTGCTTGCTCTATTTTATAGGTGGAGTGAGATGTAGGTATGTAGGGCTGGTGTGTAGCAAGGAATTGCCAGAGACTTGTGCAAAGCCTAGCAAAGATAGAGTGATTGCTTCTGTGGCATTGTGACAGGAGAGAGATGGCTTTAATAGATAAAGCATATGATCAGGGAGACTGATTCCTCTAATGGGTTTGTGGCTGTGAGGTGCAGCAGAGGCTTGGCTAATTCATTGGGATACCAATTGACCATGCTTCTTAGGGCAATAAAGTGAGCAAACAATTCTAAGGGGTGGGAGGGAAGTTGCATTTCAGAATAAATCTCTTTTATCAGTTTAAATATGCAAATTTGCTTTTGAATGCTGCACTTTTGGAGGGTGGTATCTTATTAAGCACATCATAGGGAGTCAAGCAAGTCTTCTGTAAATAGCAGGGCTCCCTAAAATATCAGAGAATACTCAGCCTTGTCTGTTGCTGAGAAAGGAACACAGACATTAATTACTTGTTTGCTTTTCTATGCAGACTAGAATTGGAGTGGTGAAATCCTTCTGCAGCAATTAGCCACTGTCATTTCTTGTTGTGGCCTTCCTCCTCCCTGACTCTCCTTATTATAATACATTCCACAAGTACACATATGAGAAAGGAGTTGTCAGGGTAATCTCAAACAAGCTGGTTTGAAATACATTTTTGTCTGAGAATTCACTTATTCTGGCACTTAGTGAGAGTTAAAAGTTGTTTGAGGTGGGATAAGGAAGATCTTAAGTGGTTGTGTGTTAAGAATTGTATTTGAAAGAAGTAAATGGAAACCTTAGAAGAGAACAGTTGTGGATGCACATGTGATTCTATGATTCTGTGATTCTATGATTTTATGATTTATTTGGGGTACATCCTTCTCTATTTTCTTCCCCAATGTGAAAGATATAGACAGAAATAAAACTACCATATAGCTCAGGGTAACTTATGGAAGTTTTTGCAGTGTGCTGTTATGATAGAATCGTTCTTTTTTTTTTCTTTCTTTTTTTTTTTTTTTTTGTGAAATAATTAGGACATTTTCATTTGATCCTGGGTAAATACAACTTCTCCTTTGTTAGCTTCCGGGTACTGTCCAGCATGAGTCCAGCATTAAGTCTGAGCAAAGCAGTGCTCTTGAAAGTGATTTACTGCTGTGTCTGTTGGCCTAGCTGAATCTTGCTGATGCAGTACTAGGAAGGTTTGCTGTTTCATGGCAGTCTACAGACTTTCAGTACCTGCAGTGGAGCTGTGTAATCACAGCAGGCAAGCTTGCTGAATTCTGTATTTGTTGTCTTTTGTGCTTGAAATCCAAGTTTCTAGTCATGGTTTTAAAAGGGTTAAACTTAACTATATTCTCACTCTCCATTATACTGGACTTTGTGCTGGGGCTATGGATATTTTCTTGAGCTCACTGTGGTGAACATATTACCTCATTGATATTACTTCACAGGCTGCTTCTAACAGACAAGGCTCTCAGCTGGCACATCAGCTAGGACGTGAATTGCATCAAACATCCTGAAACCCTTCAGTTTTCTAAGGAGGTGTTTAGTATGTTTGATATGATTGAGTCATTTGTGACTGATCTTTTCTCCCTTTCTCAGAGCATACTGGAAGGAGGAAGATGCCAGTTGTCAGAAACATGAGCCGAGCTGTCCGCCAGCTGCTACAGAACTCTGGTTGTGGATGCGGGATTCCTGTCATTCCTGCTCGATGCAATCGAGTCTCGCCCCGCCAGGTGGCCTCTGATGCAAGCTTTCACTCGGTTTCCTTTTCCAACTCCGACCATCCTCGGGTGCTAATCACAGGTCAGCATTCCTGTCATAACTATTCTCGCTCCAGCTTCTCCATCAAGTCCCCACTCCCTTCCTCCCTCTCTGGTGAGCTGAATACTGGAAACAAAACTACTCAAAATATGCTGGAATGGTGATGATCTTTCCCCTATGGGAATAAGATCGGAGTCCTGTCAGTAAGAAAGTGAACTGTCCTATTATTTTTATTCCAGAAATCTACTAAAACGAGTTCATTGGATTTTCCTTGAGAAAAAGTATGAAAGCTTTCTGACTCACTGAGAAAAATAGTATTCATTTCTGGTGTGATACATATAATCTTGGATCTGTGTCTTTTGATAGCCCTTTTCCTCTGATTTTTGTCTCTTGTGCATTGCCTTTTAGGTGGTCTTGGCCAGCTTGGAGTGGGACTTGCTAAGCTTCTGAGGTACGTTGTGATTCTCTGACTTGCTGTGAGGAATTCACGCTTTAGCCATCACTTCTAGAAGCAATATATTTCTGGAGAGTTGATTATAACAGGATCCTAGTGATGATTGCAGATGTTCTCTTTTTTGGCCTAGCCAAACAAGGCTGGATTTGAGTGCTCAACAGAGAAACAAAGGCTGTGATTGTATGCAGCTACTACAGGAGAGAGAAAAGTACAAACACCTACTTGAAAAAATGCATAGTCCTTTGCTAACAACCCAGCTGTTGGGCTTTGTGACTGCTGCCTTTTACCTTTCTGAGAATTTCAGTTGAGCAACTTCAGGAATAAGTTGCCCCATATGGTAAAGTACAAACAAAACCAAAGATTAGGATACAAGATCTTGAAGTTTTTATAATTTGGTGAAACATAAACTGGCGAAGCAAAAAAAGTAAGTCTAAAATACATTTCTTTTGGCTCTTTCTGTTCCCTTGCATCGCATACAGTTGCCTTATTTTTACCATGGTATCTTTTCGCAATGTAAAAATGCTCTGAGAGCTCTCCCTGGTCTATATCATTGTCCATATCCACTCAGCTCTAGAGTATTGCTTGCACATAGACAGTGTTTCTTGCAGAGGATTTGGACTGTGACCCCAAGTGAGCAAACTCACTGTGCTCAACACCTTGCTGCAGTTTGTGTATTTTCTACTACTTCTGTGCTATATTTAGAAATAATTCAAGTAATGGAAGGCTGAATGTACTCCAGTGCCATCAGACTTGCTCTCTGTGACAGCACTGTGTTCCTTAAAAAAGCACAAGGCAGAGCTTGCTCAGTTGGTATAAAAGTAGCTGCAGTTGCAGCAAGCCCAGTGGCTTTTTGCAGTCTGTAGAGGAGTGGGTTATCTCTGGGTAATGTTTTGAGAAAGAAGAGGGCAAGGAAATCTTTCTTACTAATGTTTTTTCATTTTGCAAAGATACCTCTGTTCTTATGTGGTCTCTCACTGCTACTAGAAGTATTTACTGATTTCCTAAGATGCTATATTAACATTTGAAGGAACAGTAGTCATTGTTTTTTTAGTGCAATAACTGATTTCATTGTGGAAATTATTGTTCTTTTGATACTGCTCCTGCAAAACAAAATAGCAGAATAGCAATTTACCAATTATCTGAAAGACTCACTGTACCATGTGGGTATTTTTACACAGGAAACGCTTTGGAAAGAACAGTGTGATCTTGTCTGACATTAGAAAGCCTGCAGATAATGTTTTTTATAGTGGTAAGTGACTGGGGGAGCATATGGGAAAAAAATCTTGACTTTCATGTTGATAGACTAATTACCAAAGTCTAAATGTTAAGTGGATTAAACTGAACAAATCACCCTTCAAAACTTCTGGATAATGCTTTCCTGCTTTGAAATCTTGCCAAGACATTAATTTCCTTTGCCTATTATTCCCTTTTTCTAAATATTTTTCTTTGCTTTTTTCCACTGCTGCTTTGCCACTTTGTTGACCAGAATAACTACTTGAGTCAAGCTGAGCTTGGCTGTTTGCTCCTGCTGTAAAATGAGATGCACCTATTCTTTGGTAGGGAACAAGTTGGAAATTAAATCTGTGCTTTCTTTTTTTTATGCTCAGGCACTTTTTAATGGTAAGATGGATGTAGATAGGATTTTTGGGTCCTTTTATTTTCATTAGGAACTTGCATAAGTTCATCACTACTGCTTAATGATGTATTCAAGTATTTGAACAGTGTACCCAAAATGTTCTCTGCTTTCATGCTGTTGAGCAGATAAAACATGAGTTCTTGCATCATCAGTCTGTTGTTGAGGTAAAGGTAGCAGGTTCCCTTCATTTGTGCTCCTTATTTACTAATTTATTGACCACTGCTCTTAGGTGTTTATTCTGCTGCATAGTCAAATCCTGAAGGTAGGTATGGTCAAGAAGCAGCCATGTGAGTTTAACGTAGAACTTCTCTTTACATCCGTTCTTCTTGGTACTCAATTTCCTACTGGTTCCATTTCTTCTAGGTCCTTTTATCTACGCAGATATCTTGGACTACAAGAATTTGCGTGAGATAGTGGTGAATAATCGGATAACTTGGCTGTTCCACTATAGTGCTTTGCTCAGTGCTGTTGGAGAAGCAAACGTCCCCTTGGCCAGAGCCGTAAACATTACCGGTATGTGACAAGGGTTTCAAGTTCATGACTCCTACAGGGGCTTGGTAAGGTCCAGTGAGTGTTCTGATAAATCCTGTTGTTTGTCCCAGGTTTACACAATATTCTGGATATTGCAGCTGAGCATAATTTGAGACTCTTTGTTCCAAGCACTATTGGAGCCTTTGGACCCACCTCTCCTCGAAATCCAACTCCTGATCTCTGCATCCAGAGACCAAGGACAATCTATGGAGTATCCAAGGTTCACGCTGAGCTCATGGGAGAAGTAGGAATTTTTCATTTTATTTATTTCTTGAAAATTTTGGGATAACTTAATTGCTTTTGTAAGATTCCTCACTGCAGTGTTCTTTTCCCCATTCTTTCCTTCCTTCAGGCTTCAGTACTCTGAGGCAGCTCTTAAGGACAAGTATCTTTTGAGTTTTGTTAGAAAAAGCACAAAGAATTGGAAGCTGGTGAAGATCTAACTTTCAGTGTAATTTCTTCCCCTGATTCTTTTGACTTTGGCCTAATCTGCCAATATGAATGACGTTGCAGAAATGACAGTGTACAAAGCCTTGCCAAAGCATCCTGGGAAATGATGACTTTTGGTCCTCCCTTTTCCATACAAGAAGAGTCTACGGTCCAAGCCATGAGAGTCTGTACATGCACAACATCTCTTTTGGCTTTGTAGTTTATTATAAAGATAATATTAAAACTGATATTGTTATATACTGTTTCCTCATACTTTAAATTTATGAAGAACATTGGCAGGCCTAAAGACTGTATTAACCTGAAAAGGCTCACAAACTTAGCTATTTTCTGTTTCTGAGCATTAGATCTAGACCCTGTATTAAGCCAATCCATATCAAGTATCCATATCAAGAATCTGTATCTACTGATACGCATGCAAACTAGAAAAGAGCAAGTAAGGACATCAGCTACCTTATAGGAAATTAAGACTGTTCACCAGTCCCTTTCCTTTCATCCCTGTCATGGGATGGCTACAAAACAAAGGTTCATCCTGTGGCAGATTTTTCCTGTGAAATCCATGAGTTGTGAGACCTTAGTCTTGATGCATAAAGCCCTGCTTCTCTCCTCCTTCCATAGTACTATCATTACCGGTATGGCCTAGACTTCCGCTGCCTGAGGTATCCAGGAATTATATCTGCTGACTCTCAGCCCGGTGGGGGAACAACTGGTAAGAGACTTGTGTGCAGTTCTCAGCAAGAATATCAAAACCAAGCCAATACACTGTAATTTATAAAGTTTTTGTAGAAATTTTATCCGTGGCAGTATGAAGCATCACTGCAGAGATGCTGTTTCAACAGTGTTAGAGAAGTTCTGTCCACTCCAGCCTAGGGCATAATGACTTTGCCTTTAAAGAGTATCTGAGAAATTTCAGATTATTTACACTCAGATTATTTTGCTTTATTATTTGCTTTCAGATTATTTTGCTTTAAAATTATTTTAAACTCTTGCAGTGTGCAAATACTGGAATAACATTGGGATAGTCTGGAATTACTTACACTTGTGCTGTAAAATGTAAATAATGCATAGTCCTGTGGTTAGATTTTATCTGGAAGACACTGACGGTGGTCTGAGGATCGTTGACTGTCACGAAGTGAACAAGACTGAGGCAGATGAGTACACACCCCCATTGTTCTTTTCTACAGATTATGCTGTCCAGATTTTCCATGATGCCATAAAGACAGGCAAATTTCAGTGCTACCTAAAGCCAGACACTCGTCTCCCTATGATGTATATTGATGACTGTCTGAAGGCGACTCTAGAAGTCATGGAGGCCCCTGCAGAGACACTGAGCATGAGGACATACAACATCAGTGCCATGAGCTTCACTCCGGAAGAGCTGGTGCAGGAGGTGCAGAAACATGTTCCTGAGCTTCAAGTGACCTACAAAGTGGATGAAATCAGGCAGGCCATAGGTTAGTACTGGCTTCTTTGGCAATGGGTAAGAAAAAAACATTATATTGCTATAGGTTAAGGGCAAAAGAAAGTTTATTTTCTTTATGGGTGCTTGCAAGTTGCTCCTGTACAATTCAAGCGTACAACTGAAATTCAGCTTTAGTAATTCAAGTGGCCAGTGATGATATACCTTAATGTTTAAAGAAGTTCTTCTTAAACCTCATGCTCCTTGTTTCTTCTCTCTTTTCATTGCAGCTGACAGCTGGCCGATGAACTTTGATGACAGGAATGCCCGGAGGGATTGGGGCTGGAAACATGACTATGATCTCCCCGAGCTGGTGACTACAATGTTTAGCTTCCTAGGGTCTGACTCTAGGATTGCTCAAGTTAACTGAAACACTTTGTAGGATGTTTCCAGATTTCTAAAGAGGACCAGAAAGAAATGGCTAAATTAGTTTATATTTTTCTCGGTCTGAGAGCATGTCAGTTATTATCTTTCATAAGTAGCAATAGAGTTGGGCAGAAACATGCTGTTGCTGGAATCTACTGTTAGATTTACAACATCGTTTGGTGCTGTCTGCAAGCACAGCACCGATGACAAACACAGATTTCTTAAACTTTCATACTTAAGCAGCTATCAAAAAAAGCTAAGAAAAGCACGCACTGCTGGCTGATGACTCTTCAACCATTACTGCTGCCTGCCTCTTCTTTGGCAAACAACTTGGGCCAGTGATGTCAAGCCTGGTGTTTCAGGCATATCCCACCAAGTTAGTGATAGGTTTGCCATTTTTCCTGGTGGAGGATGTTAGATTGTAATAAGATACCATCCTTTCTACTCTTTGCTTACAAAAGAGAGATCAGAAGAGCTACTTCATGTTTTTAAATTGCAGGGGTTGTTGCAATTTTAGTTTGAAATCAAACCTCGGTCATAGTTCCTTTATATATATATATGTATATATATATTGCTGTAAACATTTTTCTATAGGGCATACAAGGTAACATTATTCTTACAATGCTTAAGAATGTGAAGGGGAATAGGACTTGAATTCTCATTATGCTTTAAAAACCCAGGGTTTACAAGTTAAGCTTTGTCCTACTCTGAAAGTGCTGCTGCCTGCAGTTTACCCTTGGAGGTAGATCTGAAATCTGAGGAGTTGTTGTTATGTGTATGTGAACCTGGGGTGTATTTCAAGTAGGTAATGTTTATGTATGGGTTTATTATTAATTGGCAACACTTTTGGTTATCCCAGTTGTTTGCTGTGCTAGCTAGCGTGATGACATACTGCCTGGAGCAAGTTTCCAGGATGGGCTGATGATGGAGCCTTATGGTAAAGTTCCATAAACCATTGTAATTTGTTTGCGTTCACTACATTTTCCTTGTGTGCTGTAAGTGTATTTGTAGATGCTATTTATGTCTAACTGTCATATGCTTTTATTCTTTAGAGAGGGATCCAGAAGCTGAAACCACCTTCTAGCTATAGTTAAGGGCTGTTCTGCTCATTGAGTCTCATGCACAACGGATTCTAGGATTAACAAGGGGGTCTTAGTAGATGCGTGCAAGGAAGATATGTTGATTCAAAAGGTACTTAGGAGACATTGAGAAATGACAAACTGGACAGACAGAAAAACAATTTAGGCAAAACATCCTTTTCCATGGATGTGACTCTGAGCTATCAGCTACTATAGCTATAGCATGCCTTGAGAGACAGCATCTGGGAACTTTTGATTTTGTTTCTTTCAAAGAAAAAATATCTTTCATTTTCAAAATGACTGGAAATTTCCTATCTGAAGCTCTCCATCTTTTTTGTCTTGTATACTCCAACAATGTGTGTAGGTAAACATGTTAAAGTCTTTTTTCTACCTACAACTTGTTTGCTGTGTTTTTTGTGACAATGCTTTGCTAGTTGTGAGTCTTAGTCTCTCTGTAAGCCTGCAGTGTTTCTCAGTAAGTAGATAAGTGACATGACCAGATTTCTGTCTCTCTGTGAAGGAGTCTGCATGCTGCAGGGAATATGTTTTCTCATGAAAGCAACCTTCAAATGAAGATCTGTGGTGAAACCCAGTTATTTCAAGTGTTTGTTAAACCTGTTTCTGTCAGGTTTGTTACGTATTTTAGTGTTTTGGCTGCTGGCAAAGTATGCATTTACCAGTTCCTTAAGCTCAAAAACCCCTAAGGTTTTGGCCTGTTATTGAAACATTTTTATATTGTTTACATTTCCGAAACGACAAGATTTAAGCTTTGGCCACTGTTGTAACTATCGCATTGTTCAAGTGTAGTATTTGGCTGAATTGGCCAGCAACGTTGTGGCCCCCCATTTGTACCGTACCAGGAAAGACTGGCTCAGGTTTTGTCCTCTGCCCTGCCAAATCTCTGCTAGTGAACTTTACACTGAGCTGTCAGGTGGAGGGCTTTAATATGAGCTCAAGTGTCCTGTCCATTCCAACCTCAATTCAGACCCTAAGGACTCCTCGTTGCCTCCATTCCACAAGATGTATAAAATAGTCATTGACGGATCTCACTCCATTTCCTTACTTCACTTAGTTGGGTTAGGAACAGCCATTTCAGAAATCTGTATTTTGCAAATCTGAGATAAACCATATTACAACAGAGAGCTGTTTGGAGGTAACAGTGCAGTGTTAATCAGGACTGTGATTAGATGTGTCTAGGTAGGTCTGGAAGGTCTGATTCCTGTTTGAAATCCTGGTTTTCAACCTGTGATGCATGCATTTTTTTTCATACCTTCCCCATTAACTTCTGTTATAACAGAGTCTTGGGTTACATGGTCTAGAGTGAAATGTCCCTGCCCATGGCAGGGGGCTGGAACTAGATGGTCTTAAGGTCCCTTCCAACCTTAACTATTCTATGATTCTATGTTACAGTATATTCTATATTACACCAATTTGATGTGGTACGAAATGTCTAACTTTTGCTACCAGTTTGACTTCTGGGCAGAGACTTCCCTCATGACATTTGAGCATTATAGCTGTTTAAATTACCTATTCAGGAAAGAAAGTTGTTAATACTTTGTTTTTCAAATATCGTCAGTTGTGGATGATGCCTACTTTAATAAAATCCTATGCAGATGTATCCTGTTTTACCATCCCTGTTTACAGCATAAAAGAGCAGTGATGAAGGATCTCAGTTACTGCTGAAGCCTTTTAATCAGCCACAGGAGCGATGTATGATTGTGGCACAGTGAAAGATACAGCCCTCTCAGTCTGTGTAGTGACTGTCAACCATTTGTATGACTCACCTGCCTTGTTAATTGATGAATTGACTCTTCTTCAGGTTAAACCCTTTTCATCCTCCTACGTCTCAACTTTCTAATGATGGGAAACCTTTTGATGGAGGAAGCATTCCACTTGACCATAGTGTAATGACTAATGCAACCATTGTTTCTTGCAGAGTAGGGGAGGGTGTTACAGCACCATCCTCTTCCCAGCTGCTTCAGTTTGATAATGTGTTTATACATGCTCAGTCTTGCTTCTGTAAGTGCTATAGGTGATGGTGCTTCATCCAAAGCTGCTGTAGTGGGGGAGAGGACCAACATTACCATGTCCTTACAAAAAAAAAAAACAACTATTCCACTTTTCCCATTTTCCCTCCATCCTGTTTGTCAGAGACGTAAGAATATTTTACCCTGTAATCACATTGATGCAGCAGAAACAAAAGCCCCCTAACCTGTTTGCTTTCAGTTCTCAGATTTGCATCTTGCTGGCTTGCCGTGGAGGCAGCAATGGGCTTTGCTGTCCTCACTTTGCTGTTCTCAGTAAGAGGGAACACACAGAGCTGAAGCAATGCTCATGCCATGATTATCAGTAGGTACACACTAAAAAGTTTCAAAGGAAGGTGCTTTGCTCCTTTTCAAGGTCGCAGTGATGGTGGAGCATGCACACCACTGTGCAGATAGAGGCTGGAAAGAACTTTATGGCCCTAGAGTTTTAAAGTCTCATGGCATGACAAGAGGTAGATTTGGGCACATGGAAGAAGACAGGACAGTGGCCTTAAAGTTATGGCTGGAGGCAGATAGAGCTGGATGGTTTGAGGACATCTCTGCACATCTCCCCAGCTCTTCTGAAAGCTAATGTAAAACTGATTGGATAACATCTGCAGGAGGGGTTGTTTCTTAGCACAGACATAACCTCAGGTTACTCAGCCAAACTTTCCCAGAGGAGAAAATGAGATTGTGGAAGGTTGACCCTTGCTGGACACCAGGTGCTCACCAAACCACTCTATCACTTCCCTCCTCAGCAGAACAGGGGGAAAGAATATAAGATAGAAAAAAACCCTTATGGGTCAAGATAAAGGCAGTTCAATAAAGCAAAGGCAAAGGTTGTGTGTGGATGCAAATGAAAACAGAAGATTTTGTTCTCTACTTCCCATAAGCAGGTGACGTCTGGCCACTTCCTGGGAAGAAGGATTTCAGTATGTGCAGTGGTTGCTTCAGAAGACAAATGCTGTAAATAACAAATGCCTCCCCTTCCTTCTCCTTCCTCTTAGCTTTTATTGCTGAGTAGAATAGGAATAGGTCAGGGATTAGCCCAGAGCAAAAACATACGCAGCAGGCAATTTTGATTCTGTGACCCTGTTTTGGAGAGCAAACAAATCCAATATATGGTTACAGCAAGGCTGTGCCAGCCAGAGAGAGCCCAGGCTTTGCTCAGGTTGGTCATGAAGTCCTTCATATGGGTGTCTCAGTGCCTGGCACAGGAAACCAAGAAGCAGGAGAGATGTGGCCATCTCTTTTCCACCAGTGTCCTGGGATTTGGCCATCCAGACACACTTGGCAAGAAGCATGAGGAGGTTCTTGAGTATCTTCCTGTAATCAATTCACATGTCCCTTGACCCTCTGAAGTTCAACAGATGTGTCCTCCACTTTGCTGCTGGTTCCTCAGCATGTCTCTGCCTTTGTTCCCAGTCTTGTGGGCCTCCTCAGCCCCTTCCTTGTCAAAGGAAAAAGGATGGGACCATGCTCCTGGTGGGATAAACACATCCCCAGTAATTTCCCTCCTACAGTGAGGTCACAGTGTGTAGCTTTATGGGTGGGATGACCTTTAGACCAATCCTCAATAGAGGAGGCTCTTGGCAGGGGATGCTAGACTGCAGCTCCAAGGACACCAGCAAACTGATCATTTTTTGGCAAGAAAGGAGCATTGCTGCAAGGACGATCTCTCCTTACCTATCTGGTGCAATAGGTCCCTAATCTCCCCAGCCTTTACGTAATGCCAGGGTAAAGACCCATCACCATCAGAGCTTTTGCCAAAGCAATGTGTCAGATGAGAGATATCAAAGTCCAGAGATTGTTCACTGACTATCTGTTTCCCCTTCACCCAACACTGCTGGTTCTTTGCATCTGAAACCCAAGATTCATGAGATTTGGTGCATTTTTTAAAGCCCTACCTCCTAGAGTTTTGGATTCTGAGAGGCTCATAAGAAGTTCTGTAACAGTCCACACCTTATTAATCCTTATGAATTAAAGGCAAAAAATAATCTCCTGAAAATGAATATGAACTTCAGGAACTCAAATATCTGTAATTTCTGAAAGTGCAGAGTTTTGATGTTTTATTACCATTTTATTTGCAATAATTGATTATACTTTTATTATCTTACTTATTTTTGCGGACTCACAGTTTTTCCCTCTATGGCCACAGCAATATTCATACATTCCTTTGGTAAATACAGGAATTACATTGTTCTTGCTGAAATAATGGCTTGCCAGCATTTCCTAAATGGTGATAAATTGCTAAAATCACATTTTCTATAAGAGTGTCTTATACGGAGCTCATCACAGAGTGTCTGAATGTGTTTAGTTACATGGAAACACCACCCAAGAATGCTGTTTCAGGGAATAAGTGGTTTATTGAGCTCCAGCACTAGGGAAACCTGGTTTGGTATGGATTTGTGTCTTGCAGCTGATTGATGTGGGTGTCTAATAATGAAATAAAAAGTGTTATTTTTACAAGAGATGCTCCTTCCCTTGGCCGGAAGGAACTCCTCATGGCCAGACACACACGACCCTCCATGCTCTTCCCTATTGCACTTGCCTTTGGGGAATGCAAAGGGAGGAAGGGTCAATAAAAGAGCAATTTCTGTTTCTTCCTATTGCTCCTGTTTTACATCATCTCTCCTCCTTTCTTATCTGCTCTCTTTTTTTCCATGGTTATGTGTGTGTTAAGCAGGTTTGAAGTTGTGTCAGGGTCCAAAAGGTGTCATATATACCCTATTGAAGCCAAACACGCTTTGGAAACTGGGAATAACTCCAATTCCTCCTGCAATCTCTTCCCTGCTTGAATGTTGGATGAAAACTGACATATGTATATATATATAAAACACCCCCAAGCATCTCAGTCAGGTAAGAGCCATCTTTACCAGTGCTGAGGGCAGGAGGAGAATGAGTCAATGAGGTGCAGATCCTGCTCATCCAAGCCCCAAACAGCTAACCTCCTGGTTTCCCCACCAGGCCATGCAGCAGAGGCGCTGCTACTGCTTGAGCGTACTTATGGGGACCGGGGAAGTCAGTATAGCATGTGAGTAGATAATGAACTCTGGCAACATCTAAGCTCTTGCCAGGAACAACAGGAACCCAGTGCTCACTAGTGACTCTAGGGCACTGCATGCTCAAACTTCCCAGTGGTCTTCAGCAGCCCATGTCCAATGACTAAGGTTCACCCCTTGGTTTGCATGGTGGTTCCACCTCCTCCATCAGTTGTCTGTGAATATTGCTGCTTCCATTAATAGCAAAGGACTTGCAAAGCAGAGGACAGTGTCCACCCAGGGGTTTGCTCAACTGCTTTCTCTGCTGGATGGCTGATGACCTGCCAGGAAAACACTAATAGGCACCTTTATTTCTTCATCCAGCTCATCCTGAGGCTTGCTGTCTTCTCAAGAGTTGGAAAACATGCCCAATCTATGCACATGACCAGCAAGGTCTCACTCAAGACACACGCAGTAGATGGTAGCACTGACGTTTGAACTACTGATGACCTGTGGCTGCCCAGGGGTATTTGCTCTGTTGGCAGAGTGTCCCAGGATCAGTGCCAGGAGCACATTTTCCACCTCCAGCCTCCCCTCCTGGCAACAGCAGCTGGGACGTTTGCCTAAGATAACACAGAGCTTTGGGACGGAGAGGGGGATGCTCCCCACCCGTCCCCAGACACGTACGCCTGTTGGTGACCTCAGCTGAGGCTCCAGCAAGATCCACATTGCACAGGAATAGAGGTACCTGGGGACATACTATGGCCCCATCCAGACCCTGTGTCAGGGCAAGGATCCAGGGCAGTTTGGAGGGGTTTTGAGTCTCTAAAGATTGCAACAGAGATGCAGCCACCATAGTGAACAGTGATGTTGCACTGTGATGCTGCACAGCTGCACTGTGCATAGGAGAAAAAGGCATCACTGGGCGGGGAATCCAAGGAGGATGAGGGACCCCACTCCATGCCCCCTAAACTGTTTCCTGAAGGCTGTGACCCAGCATCATTGGGTTGCCCTTGGCTGACCCTTTTGGAGCTCAAACATCACTCTGGTGTGCTTCTATCTGCCACCTCCTTTGAAAGGAGCACAGTAGCCAAGGTCTCCCAACTGCTCAAACCTACAGGGGAAAAGCTCTCTGTAAACCATTCAGTACTCAGTGGACCACCTTTTAGATCTACTTTTTAATACCAAGTGGAGAAGGTGTGTAGGCCCCATTTAGCCTGGATAACGTGGAATCCTGAAGCTGACCACAACTGTAACAGGTGTGCAATTGGGAACCTAAAGGGGAATGCAAAGAGGTGAGAGGAGGACATGAAATTTGGTTGTCTGTCCCTGCCCTGGTATTTCGGATTTCCCTTGGAATGCTGTCTAGAGAGAACATAAGGATTTCACTTTAAAATAGAACTAGAAGAGGGCAGATTTAAATGTGATATTACGAAGAAGTTGTTCCCTGTGAGGGTGGTGAGGCCCTGGCACAGGTTGCCCAGAGAAGCTGTGGCTGCCCCATCCCTGGCAGTGTTCAAGGCCAGGTTGGATGGGGCTTGGAGCAACCTGGAATAGTGGAAGGTGTCTGTGCCCATGGCAGGGGGTTGGAACTGAATGAGCTGCAAGGTCCTTTCCAACCCAACCCAATCAATAATTCTATTATTCTATGATTTGAGACCTTCACAGGGAGTTTCTGGGACTTTGGATGATCAGTGGTACGGGGTAATCAGAGCTCTCTGCCAGGTGTCCTTCCCAAAACCCAGCCACACACAGTGTCCCAGCTCCACCACAGATGCCATACGATGTTGATGCTGGCTGGTTGCTGTTTTCCTTTCAGTTCTCTGATGTTACAGATTCACTTCAAAATCTGGAATTTAAATAAATAAACAAATAAGGTTTGGGATATCTTTCCTATTAAAAAATAAAGAAATGCAGGGTCTTAGTAAGTTAATAAGTGAAATCTTTCAGGGATAGTTTTCTTTCTTAAAAGTACTCATATCTCAGTTCAGGACCAGGCAGCATTCTTGAAACAAAGCCCCTGTTTAAATTCCTTGAATACAATGATAAAAACGCAGCAATAGGAGTGCCACTTCTACTGGTGATGATGCTGCTGGCAGCCCCAGTCGGGGAACTCAAAACCCGGATGCTCTTCCAACACCTTGCAGTTCCTGCCAAGATGTTTCTGCTCACTGCTCTGGACGATGTTTCTTCACAATGGCTTTTTTCCCTAGGGATGGTGATTAAGTATTTACTGAGCTCAAGGCATGAGCTGTTCACATGCCGGTTTCCAAATCCCTTCCCACCGTAGCCACCTGCCATGCCCCAAGAATCAACGTCTCCATCCCTTCCAAGACACATGGAGCTCGTCGCAGCTCTATTTGTTGTCTGGCCAGGGCAGGGGTCTCCATCCCTGCTGAGACGCCCATTGAAGCGGAAGGTTTAATTTAAGGCTTGACTTGTCCTCTCCCCAGAAGCCATTAATTAATTAGTGCTGGTTTTGGCATGGAGACAGAAGCAGAGATGGTGAATGCTCTGCTTCTCTGAGCAATGAAGACACTCGGGTGTGCAGTGATTGCCCCGATTTGGGGTGCGCGTGGGTCAAGCAACACTGCTGGAGCAGGGGTAGCCTTTGGAAAGGGCTTTCCCATGGCCATGGTTGGTGGCAGAGGTACATCTGAGCCAAGTTTCTTCTGTGACCCCAGAGAAGCTGCTCAAGGAGCAATCTGGAGAAGAAGGAAGGTGAGGGATTCTCCATCCTCAGTTAGCCCAGGCCAAAAATGCTGCTTTGCATTGCCACATCCTCTCCCTTCTACACCTGGATTTTGAAGGCCTTGTGCATGATGTGTTGCAGAGGCTGATGATGCAAAACTTTCCAAATACCTGATTTTGTTTGAATTTTTTTTTTAAGGGAAAATAATGGTAATGCAGAGGTGGGATGTGCAAGTTTATGTGAAAACAGCTCTCCCCCTCCCAACAACTTTTAAATCTAACTTTACCAAGATATTCCCTGCCTAACTGTGAATCAGCACTTCAGGGTGAATCCAGCATTACTCTATGACCTGAGCAGTGCAGTTACTCTGCAACGCAATGCATTTTGCTTTAAGCTTTCTTTACCCCCTGTATCTCTTCTACATGTTGGTGAGGTTAAATGTGGATGTACGACAAGGTCCATGTACATGGTGATAACCTGGGGAGCCCCAGTCACACTGTGGCTCTTGCAACCCCCCAAAGTGACTTCAGGCTCTGTTAGGTGATAGCAAGTGCCATGATGCTGCTGGGCTAGGAGAGGTTAGCATCATGGTCCCTGGCCTTGGGGAGAGGAGATTTCCTGCCCTAAGCCATCCACCATGCCTCAGAAACCCATGTGGCCTCATAAGCAGGAGGGCAGGATGGGAAGCCTATGGAAGGAGAGGAAAGTGGTCACTGGAATAAATCCCAGATGTGTGAACAAAGTGTCTCCCAAGAAGGCCAAATTCAGGCAGGGAACACAACCAGGTGATTTGTGAGGGGGCTTGCAAGGGGCCAGCATTGCTTTTCCAGTTATTTTCTGAAGTACTTGACATCGGGCCCTTCTCCCTTGCTCTTGCATAGGCTCCAGTGCCATAGGCATTTTTTAGCTTACTTCCTAAGGAAATAAAGAAACACACTGGACTTCCTGCCCGCCTGTCCGTGCTTCCCCAGCAATAACTGCATCCCATGATTGATTTCAACCAGGCTGCACCAAGAGCTACAGACAGGTGCTAAGTCTGCCAGCCTCCTTCTCTCTGGAAGGGGTGAGAGATGTCCCAGGGTCAGCTGAACCCCATATTAGACACCAGAGAAGCCCCTCCCTCACATAGGTCTCACTCTGGGGTTCATGGCTGTTATCACCCCAAATGTGGGCCTGTCTTGCCATCTACTGGTGGGATCCCATCAGAGGAGCAGGGGCAGAGGACATCCAGGAGAAGGAGGTTGTGAGGACTGAGCCCTGTACTGATTATGGCACCCCAGGGGGTGACCAATCGGATCAGAAGGGAACCAAGTACAGCCTTGCAAGTTAACTTCTTGCTTTGCAGAAGGCTTTCATTGTTTCTGTTGGCTACTAATATCACAGAATCATAGAATCAGGGAATGCACAACCTGTGCCAGGGCCTCAGCTCCCTCACAGGGAAGAACTTCTGCCTAAGAGCTCATCTCAATCTCCCCTCTGTCAGGTTAAAGCCATTCCCCCTTGTCCTGTCCCTACAGGTCCTTGTCAAAAGCCCCTCTCCAGCTTTCTTGTCAGCCCCTTTATGCACTGGAAGCTGCTCTAAGGTCTCTCCTTAAGGAGCCTTCTCTTCTCCAGGCTGAACAAGCCCAGCTCTCTCAGCCTGTCTCCATAGCAGAGGTGCTCCAGCCCTCAGAGCATCTTCGTGGCCTCCCCTGGACTCACTCCAACAGCTCCACATCCTTCTTTTGCTGGGCCCCAAAGCTGGATGCAGGACTGCAGGGGTGTCTCAGCAGAGCAGAGTAGAGGGGGAGATGTGT